AAGTAAAAGACACAGCCTCACTCTCAAGGACTTTATCATTCAGCTGGATGTAAACAAATTACAATACATTGCGATGAACATGTGACTATATGTGTTAAAGATATAAAGGGGGGGAAAAGGGGGGGGAGATGTAAAGAAAAAATATTCAACCCTAGCTGGTTTGGCTCAGTGGATAGAGCGTCAGCCTGTGGACTGAAGGGTCCTGGGTTCAATTCCGGTCAAGGGCACATGCCATGGTTGCAGGCTCCTCCTGGCCCGGGCCCTGGCCAGGGCTCATGCATGAGGCAACCAATCGATGTGTTTCTCTCGCATCGATGTTTCTCTCTGTCTTTCCCTCTCTCTTCCACTCCCTCTAAAAATCAATGGAAAAATATCCTCGGGTAAGGATTAAAAATAAATAAATAAATACATAAATAAATAAATAAAAGCAAAAGGAAAAAATATTCAGTTCTAATTGGAGGTGGGGACAAAGGGGGGGGGTGTATTATGGAAGGCCGCCTGAAGATCACACGATAGGCTAAGATTTATCAAGTGGCCCAGAGAGGGGAGGACACTGCCAACAGAAGGAACAGCATGTACCTGGTATACAGCACAACAGGGACTCTCCCAGGAACCTGAAACACTTGGATATGGCTGTGCATTTCACTGGGGAGAGTGGCAGGAGATGAAGCTACACAGATAGGACAGAACTAAATCTTAACAGGCTGTAATTCTATACTGAGGAGTTTAGAGTGTATCCTAGAAGCAATTAGGAAGGTGGATAGATCAAGGGATAGATGTCAAGTTTGTGTTTTAGAAAGAACCTACTCCCAGCTGGGCATATACACAAGAACTGGTTATATTTTCAATTCTTTTCTGTGTGTTTTATTTATTTTTTAATCCTCACCCGAGGATATTTTTCCATTGATTTTTAGGGAGAGTGGAAGAGAGAGGGGAAGACAGAGAGAAATATCGATGTGAGAGAAACACATCGATTGGTTGCCTCCTGCACACGCCCCAACCAGGGCCCAAGCCGGGGAGGAGCCCGCAGGCAAGGTATGTACCCTTTACCGGAATCGAAGCCCGGTACCCTTTGGTCCTTAGGCCAATGCTCTATCCACTGAGCCAAACCGGCTAGAGCTCTGTGTGTTTTATATCAATTTTTAAAAATATATATATATCTGCATTGATTTCAGAGAGGAAAGGAGAGGAATGAGAGAGAATCATTGATCGGCCACCTCCCGCACGCCCCTTACCTGGACGAGCCTGCAACCAGGACATGTACCCTTGACTGGAATCGAACCTGGGAGCTTTCAGTCCGAAGGCCGACACTCTATCCACTGAGCCAAACCAGCTTGGGCTTATAACAATTAAAGCAAAACCCTCAACTAGCAGGACAGAGAGGGTCTGCAGGGGAGCAAAGCTGGCTACAGGGACCCGTTGGAGCCCATGGTCTACAGGAGAAGAGATAAAAGAACTAAGAGTGGTGGGAGGAAATGAGAGGAGTGGCCTCAGAAGGAATGGTCAGGAGCTGAAGTCCACAGGACCTGGGGAGGGACTGGGTGTGAGGGATGAGAGAGGGCGGAGTCCAGGATGGCTACCAGGTTTCTGGGGTGGGTAACGAGAAGGAAGCATTCTTTGAAAATGTAGATAGAGATGGATGAACAGGTTCAGGAAGAAAGGTGAACACACATCACATTTACACATGTGCTGGAGAGGCCTGTCGGACATCCGGATAGAAATTTCTAGTAAGCAGGAATATTTGAGTCTGAAGCTCGGGTATCATGGATGGCTGGAGTCATCAGCACAGAGCTGGAAGCCATAAAAGAGACTGAGTCTGTATAGGTAACGTAAGGAGAGTGTAGATGGGCCACGGGGACGCCAAAGTTTAGGAACAAGCAAGGGAATGAGGAGTTGGCCAGAGAGAAAGAGATAGAGAAGAAATAGTGACCCAGGGCAGAGGAGAATCGCGAGTTAAATAAACTGAAGATATTACATAAACGGAAGATTTGAGACAAACGATCGCTGAATTTGGCCCTAGTTCAACTCTGCCCTAGTGAACTTTGCCACAGAGGTTTCAGTGGCCTGTCTGAGGGCAAGAGCAAGGCTGCACTGGACAGGAAGGGGGAGGGGACCCTGCTCTTTGTTAAGAGACTCCCGGTGCGGAGAAAGGAGATCTGAGATACTTGGAGGAGGACACGGGATTGAGGGCAGGGTATCGGTTTTGTTTTGAGACTGGAGAAACTTGAGCAAACTTACATGGTGGGGGTGGGGGTGGGAGGAGCCAGGAAAGAGGGAGAGTTGAAAACAGAGAAGAGAGAAGGAATAACTGCAGGACCAACGCCCAGAAGAATAGTGAGCGCACCGGCCAAAGACACACAGCAGCAGATTGAAAGACAAAAGGTGAAAGGGGTCAGAAAGAGGTCACACTGTAGGGATGGGATTGGGAAACCGAGGGAATTGATGCCAGAGCCTCAATTTTATCTGTGAAATAGGAAACTAAGTGAAAAAAAGAAGGCCCAGAGGGGTGGGTGGTGACTTGCATAATTGTCGGTTTGCAAACTGGCTCCCATACAGTGAGGGGAAGGAAAGATGAAAAAAGAGGTAGATCATACCATATTGGTGGTGGTTTTTTTTGTGTGTGTGTCTTTTTAATATTTTTATTGATTTCAGAGAGGAAGGGAGAGGGAGGGATAGAAACATCAGTGATGAGAGAGAATCATTGATTGGCTGCCTCCTGCAAGCCCCACACTGGGGATCGAGCCCGAAACGTGAGCATGTGCCCTTGACCGAAATGGCATCCAACCCGGGACCCTTCAGTCTGCAGCTGACGCTCTATCCACTGAGCCAAACCGGCTAGGGCCGTGGTGGTTTTAATAAACCAGGTAACTTACATACGAGGCTTGTCATGGGCAACTGCAAGATGAGCAGATCTCTGCACCACCCACCCGAATCCTATAAGTTTATACAGAGGCCTTCACTGGGTTCCGTCCAGATGGTCTCACCAACAGCTCCCTCCCTCACAGCTGTGTCCTTGAAAATGGCTCTGGCTGTGGGGGCGGTGGTCAGAACATATGCTCCAAGGACAGGGGAGGAGGTGAGGAGCCTCAGACTGTGGGTCCAGCTCCCGTGTCAACCGCTGGTCACATCCCCTCAGCGATCTCCTCCAGCAACTGCCCACAGGGAGTCAGTCCAGTGTCTGGACTCCTTGCCTGGTACTCCTTCTATTCCCTCTGCTACACTCACTTACGTTGAAGATACCTTGCATCCCTTGAATGCCTTTTTCTAAATGGGGCTTTTTGTACTTCCCTTTAAAAGACTATAGGCAAAAGGGACGTATGTAACACTTGCAATGATAAAGAATTATTTTTTAAAAATAAATAAGTAGGTAATAAAAATTAAGATTACTAGGCAAGGCTGGCTTCACACACATGTAGAACAGGCCGCCTGTCACCAAGGAAAATAAACTTGCCAAGAACCTGGACTGAGACCCAGAAGACTTTTCCCTCTAGAATGGGGACGACGGCAGAAGCTCACTCTCAGATCAGGATTCTGACTTAGTCATGCCACTTCAGAGTGCTTAGGCAGCGGTTCTCAACCTGTGGGTCGCGACCCCTTTGGGGGTCGAACGACCCTTTCACAGGGGTCGCCTAAGACCATCAGAAAACACATATATAATTACATATTGTTTTTGTGATTAATCACTATGCTTTAATTATGTTCAATTTGTAACAATGAAATTGGGGGGTCACCCCAACATCATCAACTGTACTAACGGGTCGCGGCTTTAGGAAGGTTGAGAACCACTGGCTTAGAGAATGCTTTTTAACACGCAAACTGTGATGATCGCTTCAGTGAAGAAGATTCTGGAAAATTACCTGGAGGAGAGATATTGGCAGTATGGGGGAAGGAGTGGTTGGGAGGAAATTCTGGACAAGTCTCTTGGCCTCTCTGCCCATGTCCAAGGTCCCTTCTCACTGCAACATATTTGATGAAGAGGTGGGTCGGATCAAGGTACTGAAGTAGATTACTACAGCCAGCCCATGGAGCATATCAAGTGGCCACAAAAAGTGAAGGAAGGACATAAATATTAGTACCATTATTTGCTTTGGATGGGCCCTGCCAAATGAAATAGAAATCGGCAGATATTGTGTAACTCAAGTCCAAATCGCTTCCCCTTGGAAAACATAGTTTGTGTCATTATTGATGTAACAAACATTAGGGAAAAGGAGAGGAAAATACCTTCAGACCACAATCACAGATTTTAGAATAGGAAACGACTGGTTCCAACCCATTAAGCCCAATTCACGGCTTTTTCTTCCCCAAGATTGTTCATCTTCCCTTCTGTGATTTCTTCAACAATAATAACTGGCTTCTATGGTAAACAGTAATACTCAGGCAGCAAAGAAACTGGTAACCAGCACTGGCTTGCTTCCTGCACTCTCCTGAAAGTAGTCCCTGACACAAAGAACTCCTTATGTGGGAGGATGACACCGAGGTAGAGAACTGGATTAAAATCTTGTAGAATCTGTTCAAAACAAATCCATGTAACCAGAGCCACGGGAGTACAGATGTGAATCCAAACCAATGCCTCACAGCCCTAGCCAGTTTGGCTCAGTGGATAGAGCGTTAGCCTGCTGACCAAAGGGTCTTAGGTTCGATTCCGGTCAAGGGCAGGTACCTTGGTTGCAGGCTCCTCCCCGGCCTGGGCCCTGATAGGGGCTTGTGCAGGAGGCAACCCATCAATGTGTATCTCTCACATTGATGTTTCTCTGTCTTTCCCTCTCTCTCCCATTCTCCCTAAAAATCAATGGGGGGAAAAAATATCCTTGGGCGAGGATTAATTAAACCAATGCCTCATATAACCTGAAATATTTTCTTAGATACAAGATACAAGAACTTTATGTAAGATACAAGAACTCTATCACGAGCTAGGGATCAGCCATATGACCTGGGTCCTACCTATGAGATGTACCTTCAAGAGGATTTTTCAAAGAGGCGCAATGTGAGGAGACAGGTACCTTGTGGAGTTCACTTCCTGGTGGAGAAGCTGCCGGAACAGAGCCTCTGCCTTCCGGGGGTCCACTCCCACTGTGCAGTCGGAGAGCCCGGGCTGTCAGCCGCAGTAAAGTCGCTTAGCGTGGCTAAAGATGTGTGGAGTAGGAAACGAAAAGGAGAAAAACAGTGCTTCACCGAGGAAAAAGCAAGGCCTTTGGAAGTATCAGGCTTGATCAAAGTCCTGCTGCCACTTACCAGCTGTGCCCTTGAATAAATCATATGCCCTCCTCAGCCTCAGTTTAACCATCTTTAAACTGGTCATTGTCCAAGGTCCCTCGCTGCCTCTGAAAGCAGGGCTCTTTCCATGCCAGGATTCGCCAGGCCTACTGGTGGTCTACTCCACCTCCAGATCCCTGGGTCAAAGTGAGGCTTAAAAGCATGGATAAAATTAAGTTAATTTATGAAGTGGCTAGAAGAAAAAACACTGAGATGTAGCGCTAAGTAACAGGGATAGCAAAGTCAACTGACAACGGGCAATCTTCTGCATGTGCATCAACAGGCCCAAGGACATTACTCTGCAGCAGAATATCATAACTGATGATAACAATGACCTTGAGTTGCCAAGCAAAGATCAATTTATGCCCAAACCAGAGCATTAAAATACTCTGGTTTTGGCATAAAAGTAAGTACTACATTCTATGTATACTTCCATCAAAAGTGGTTCCAGCCCCGGCTGGTGTGGCTCAGTTGGTGGAGCGCAGAATATCATAACTGATGATAACAATGACCTTGAGTTGCCAAGCAAAGATCAATTTATGCCCAAACCAGAGCATTAAAATACTCTGGTTTTGGCATAAAATTAAGTACTACATTCTATGTATACTTCCATCAAAAGTGGTTCCAGCCCTGGCTGGTGTGGCTCAGTTGGTGGAGCGCTGTCCTGTGCACCAAAAGGTTGCTGGTGCAATTCCCAGTCAGGGCCACATGCCCAGGCTGTGGACTCAATCCCTGGCAAGTGGCACGCAGGAGGCAGCCGATCCGTCAATGTTTCTCTTTTTCTCTCCCTCTCCCTTCCTCTCTCTCCAAAAACATAAATATTTTTTTAAAAATGGTTCCGCCCTAACCAGTTTGGTTCAGTGGATAGAGCATCGGCCTGCGGACTCAAGGGTCCCAGGTTCGATTCTGGTCAAGGGCATGTACCTTGGTTGCAGGCACATCCCCAGTGGGGGGTGTGCAGGAGGCAGCTGGTCGATGTTTCTCTCTCATCGATGTTTCTAACTCTCTTTCCCTCTCCCTTCCTCTCTAAAAAATCAATAAAATCTATTTTTTTTAAAAAAAATGGTTCCAATGAAAATGTTTTTGATGTTTAAAGGCTAAGAGTCAGTTATCTGGAAAATTTCTATCCGTGGAACAGATTATCTCTCAGAAAATGAGATGGAATAACTGATAAAATACCATAATATGAGAGAACATTATGGACAAAAATAGTTTCATTTGAAAATTGGCTGGAATACCTAGAATTTTTCACAGAAACTCCCAGAAGCCAAGCTCCCAAGTGCCATTTATGAATTAAAAGAAAAGAAATACACACTTTTCTGTGTAAGTCCCAATTACCTAGAAATAATGCCATCACAAGCTGGCCTTCAGTCACTCTCCTTTTTCCTGATACCTGTGTCTCCTGTTACTAGGCTGGGAAGCATCTTCCTGAGTTTTTCTATTGCTACATTGCTACCCACACATTTATTCCAATCTTCTCTTCAAGTTTACATTTCCTATTCCTGCCTCTTAAATATGAACATTTCCTGAGGCGTAGGCCTTGGCCTTCTGCTTTTCTCTATAAATACTTCTCCTGTGGGAAAGATCATAACACACTGATTTCAACCCTTTTGTCTCATGGATGACTCATACATTTACAACCTTTCTTTCTTCAGCTTCAGTTCTATATTTCTTTTTTTAATATATATTTTTTATTGATTTCAGAAAGGGAGAGGGATAGAAACATCAATGACGAGAGAATCATTGATCAGCTACCTCCTGCATGCCCCCTACTGGGGATGGAGCCCGAAACCCGGGCATGTGCCCCGACCGGGAATCGAACCATGATTTCCTGGTTCGTAGGTCGATGCTCAACCACTGAGCCATGCCAGCCGGGCCAGTTCTGTATTTCTAACAACCCCCTAAAATTTTTCTTTTGGACAGATCACTACCATCTCAAATTGTACAAATCTTTTGGAGCTCTGAGCTCATTTTTGCTTTAAAACCAACTTATCCTCAGTCCCAAATTCCCAGCCTTAAGGAATTGGGAATCTTCCCTGATTCCTCCTAATCCTTTTCTCCCATGGTCTGCTCTGTGACTAAGGATAATAGTATCCAATTATTGTGACCTTGGTCTTCCCGCTCTCCCCTTTACTACCCAGCATCAAGACTATCCTATCTGCCCGTCCTTACGATCCTGTACACTGTTGCTAGGTTAATGTTTCTATAACATTTACTGAGTGCTTCCTTTACACAAAGCACAATGTCACACGCTGCAGGATCCAGAAATGAATCAAATAGAAGTCTGTTTAAAGTCCAATGGAGGGAGGGGAAGACTTGTATGTAAATAATTTCAGCTTTAAGTTAGAAAGTGGTAAGAACTGAACGGGTGAAGTATCGGTGTTATGGGCAAAGGGAGAATGAAAGGGGAACAGCAGGAAATAAAGTTTTGCCTCCAAGGTAATAACTTTGGCCTTTAATCTACGGACAACAGGGAGCCGGTGATTTTGGATCAGAGCTGTGCTTGATTAAACCACGGCAGCTGCAGGCGAGATGGGCTGGTAGGGCGTGGGCTGGAGGAAGGGCCTCGCTGAGGTGCTGCATTTCCAGTGTTCAGGGGATGATGACGGGAACTCTGGTAGCGGTTCTCAACCTGTGGGTCGCGACCCCTTTGGCGGTCGAACGACCCTTTCACAGGGGTCGCCTAAGACCCTCCTGCATATCAGATATTTACATGACGATTCATAACAGTAGCAACATTACAGTTACGAAGTAGCAACAAAAACAATTTTATGGTTGGGTCACAACATGAGGAACTGTATTTAAAGGGCCAGAAGGTTGAGAACCACTGGATTAGGGGGAAGCAGCGGGTAACATGGGTGGATGTCAGAACTACTGCTGGGGCAGAACCGACATAATTTAGTCACTGACGGGCGCAAGAAAGGAAATAAATGGCAGCGGGTACTGACATTCCTGTATCCACGCTGGAAACTGGTGCTAGTATTAACAAAAAGGGTGCACAGTCCGGACAGCCATTGGGGAGGTAAGAGGCCAAGTCATGCCCTCGCTGGTGTGGCTCAGTGGATAAATCGTGGGCCTGCAGACTGAAGGGTCCTGGGTTCCATTCCGGCCAAGGGCACATGTCCCGTTGCGGGCTCGACGGCTCGATCCCCAGTAGGGGGCGTGCGGGAGGCAGCCATCAACGTTTCTGTCTCTCTCTTCTCCCTTCCTCTCTGAAATCAAAAATATATATTTTTAAATATATTTTATTGATTTTTTACAGAGAGGAAGGGAGAGGGATAGTTAGAAACATTGATGAGAGAGAAACATCGATCAGCTGCCTCCTGCACGCCCCCCACTAGGGATGTGCCCGAAACCAAGGCACATGCCCTTGACCGGAATCGAACCTGGGACCCTTGAGTCCGCAGGCCGATGCTCTATCCACTGAGCCAAACCGGTTAGGGTTATATTATTTATTATTATTATTTTTTTAAAAGAGGCTAAATCATGTTTGGGGTATTCAGCGTGTATACATACACCTGCAGAGCATTGGAGAAGAAATTGGCCAAGCCCCTTGGAGGCTGCTGGGTCCTGACGAATTAGGCTGAAGAGGGTGGGGTGGGGGTGGGATGTTTGGGCAAAAACACCTACGAAAGGGACTATGAACTCTTACGGCCGAGGCCCAACCTGGCAGGAGGTGAAGGCACCGCGTCCCTGAAGCCACCGCTCAGCCTGGAGTCCTGCCGGAAGCAGCCTTTCCCTCCCTTCTCTGCAGAGTTCCCAACCTCCGACCCTACCCGCCACCGGCTCCCAGTCACGGGGACTTAATACCCGGCGACGTCTTTTCCTGCACGGGCGCGGGGCAGGCGCCGAGCGCACGGGGCCCATCATCGTAAGAGAGTCGCGTTCGGCGGTTTGCTCCGCCAACGGTTCAACTGTGAAAGCGCCACACGCCGAGCCCCACCTATCGCGAGACTTGACAGGCGCGCCTGCGCGGAGCTCGCCGGAAGCGGAAGTCAGGGGGCTGTCGGATTCCGTCTGACAGGAGTGGCTCCGCTGCCTAGGAGAGGTGAGGTGGGTGAGTGTGGAGTCGCTCTGACGCGTTAGGGGCCGGAGGGGGGTTTCCTGCGCGTTTCGCCCGCCGAGCTCGGCCCGAGCTGAGGCGACACCGCGCTGGGCGGGTGAGTTGCCAGTTTGAGCGCCGGGAAGGAGGGAGGCGGTCGAGCCGCCGTGTCCCCGGTCTGCGGTTCCAGGTCCGGGCGCTTTCGCCAGATCGGAAGCCCCTTACCCTTCACGGCCAGTCGTTTCCTCCGCGCTGGACGTCCACGGTGCGCCCTTGGGAGACCGGCTCCGTTGGGCTTTGCGGGGGAGTGGCCATCGCGGTGGTTTCCAGTCCTTACCTTGCTCTGTCTCACCTCCTGGGGCAGCGCAACCCCGTTCTGGTGAGTCCTTTCCAGGGTAGCCGCCTGCAGCCAGAAGAGCTCGGTGTGGTTTTATTTGTGGTAAATAAACTAATGTTGGGGCACAGATCTGAAAGGCAGTGCGCTTTTATTTCATCGGGCAAGAACGTGAAGTTGTTGCTCGTGCTGGAGCTGGCTCATTGGCGTTGCAGGCCCCGAGGACACGCCTTCGTGTCATCATCTAGCGGCTAGAGGGGTGGGCAAACTTTTTGACTCGAGGGCCACAATGGGTTCCTAAACTGGACCGGAGGGCCGGAACAAAAGCATGGATGGAGTGTTTGTGTGAACTAATATAAATTCAAAGTAAACATCATTACATAAAAGGGTACGGTCTTTTTTTTTTTAGTTTTATTCATTTCAAACGGGCCGGATCCGGCCCGCGGGCCGTAGTTTGCCCACGGCTGATAGATTCTAGCTCTTCGCTCGCACTTGGTTGGTTTTGTTCATTCTCCCCGCGAGGATTTGTTCCCGTTGACTTTTAGGGAGAGTGGAAGAGAGAGGGAAAGACAGAGAGAAACATGATGTGAGAGGAACACAGCTATTGGTTGCCTCCTGGTCGCAGGGGAGGAGCCTGCAGCCAAGGTACCTGCCCTTGACCGGAATCGAAGGGAACCCAGGACCCTTTGGTCTGCGAGCCAGCGCTCAATCCGCTGAGCTAAATGGGCGAGGGCCTCGCTAGCACGTACTCTCGAGTTAGCGTTGGAAGACTTGAGA